TCTGTCTCCTAGAGATGAACGTACTTTGGTGCGAAAAGTGCAAATCAATCCCAGAACAACAGCAAAGGACCTTGTGAAGATGCTGGAGGAAACCGGTACAAAAGTATCTATAGTGGGGAGAACAAGTATTTGACACACTGCCGATTTTGCAGGTTTTCCTACTTACAAAGCATGTAGAGGTCTGTCATTTTTATCATAGGTACACTTCAACTGTGAGAGATGGAATCTAAAACAAAAATCCAGAAAATCACATTGTATGATTTTTAAGTAATTAATTTGCATTTTATTGCATGACATAAATATTTGATACATCAGAAAAGCAGAACTTAATATTTGGTACAGAAACCTTTGTTTGCAATTAGAGATCATACGTTTCCTGTAGGTCTTGACCAGGTTTGCACACACTGCAGCAGGGATTTTGGCCCACTCCTCCATACAGACCTTCTCCAGATCCTTCAGGTTTCGGGACTGTTGCTGGGCAATACGGACTTTCAGCTCCCTCCAAAGATTTTCTATTGGGTTCAGGTCTGGAGACTGGCTAGGCCACTCCAGGACCTTGAGATGCTTCTTACGGAGCCACTCCTTAGTTGCCCTGGCTGTGTGTTTCGGGTCGTTGTCATGCTGGAAGACCCAGCCATGACCCATATTCAATGCTCTTACTGAGGGAAGGAGGTTGTTGGCCAAGATCTCGCGATACATGGCCCCATCCATCCTCCCCTCAATACGGTGCAGTCGTCCTGTCCCCTTTGCAGAAAAACATCCCCAAATAATGATGTTTCCACCTCCATGCTTCACGGTTGGGATGGTGTTCTTGGGGTTGTACTTATCCTTCTTATTCCTCCAAACACGGCGAGTGGTTTAGACCAAAAAGCTCTATTTTTGTCTCATCAGACCACATGACCTTCTCCCATTCCTCCTCTGGATCATCCAGTTGGTCATTGGCAAACTTCAGATGGGCCTGGACATGCGCTGGCTTGAGCAGGGGGACCTTGCGTGCGCTGCAGGATTTTAATCCATGACTGCGTAGTGTGTTACTAATGGTTTTCTTTGAGACTGTGGTCCCAGCTCTCTTAAGGTCATTGCCCAGGTCCTGCCGTGTAGTTCTGGGCTGATCCCTCACCTTCCTCATGATCATTGATGCCCCACGAGGTGAGATCTTGCATGGAGCCCCAGACCGAGGGTGATTGACCGTCATCTTGAACTTCTTCCATTTTCTAATAATTGCGCCAACAGTTGTTGCCTTCTCACCAAGCTGCTTGCCTATTGTCCTGTAGCCCATCCCAGCCTTGTGCAGGTCTACAATTTTATCCCTGATGTCCTTACACAGCTCTCTGGTCTTGGCCATTGTGGAGTCTGTTTGATTGAGTGTGTGGACAGGTGTCTTTTATACAGGTAACAAGTTCAAACAGGTGCAGTTAATACAGGTAATGAGTGGAGAACAGGAGTGCTTCTTAAATAAAAACTAACAGGTCTGTGAGAGCTGGAATTCTTACTGGTTGGTAGGTGATCAAATACTTAGGTCATGCAATAAAATGCAAATTAATTACTTAAAAATCATACAATGTGATTTTCTGAATTTTTGTTTTAGATAAAAATTACAGACCTCTACATGCTTTGTAAGTAGGAAAACCTGCAAAATCGGCAGTGTATCAAATACTTGTTCTCCCCACTGTATATCCAAAGTAAAACGAGTCCTATATCGACATAACCTGAAATGCCGCTCAGCAAGGAAGAAGCCACTGCTCCAAAACCGCCATAAAAAAAGCCAGACTACGGTTGCAACTGCACATGGGGACAAAGATCATACTTTTTGGAGAAATGTCCTCTGGTCTGATGAAACAAAAATAGAACTGTTTGGCCATAATGACTATCGTTATGTTTGGAGGAAAAAGGGGGTCGCTTGCAAGCCAAAGAACACCATCCCAACCGTGAGGCACGGGGGTGGCAGCATCATGCTGTGGGGGTTCTTTTCTGCAGGAGGACTGGTGCACTTCACAAAATAGATGGCATCATGAGGAAGGAAAATTATGTGTATATATTGAAGCAACATCTCAAGACATCAGTCAGAAAATTAAAGCTTGGTCGCAAATGGGTCTTCCAAATGGACAATGACCCCAAGCATACTTCCAAAGTTGTGGCAAAATGTCTTAAGGACAACAAAGCCCTGACCTCAATCCTATAGAAAATGTGTGGGCAGAACTGAAAAAGAGTGTGCGAGCAAGGAGGCCTACAAACCTGACTCCGTGACCCCAGCTCTGTCAGGAGGAATGGGCCAAAATTCACCCAACTTATTGTGGGAAGCTTGTGGAAGGCTACCCGAAACGTTTGACCCAAGTTAAACAATTTAAAGGCAATGCTACCAAATACTAATTGAGTGTATGTAAACTTCTGACACACTGGGAATGTGATGAAAGAAATAAAAGCTGAAATGAATCATTCTCTCTACTATTATTCTGACATTTCACATTCTTAAAATAAAGTGGTGATCCTAACTGACCTAAGACAGGGAATTTTTACTACGATTAAATGTCAGGAATTGTGAAAAACGGTGTTTAAATGTATTTGGCTAAGGTGTATGTAAACTTCCGACTTCAACTGTACATGTACATATTACCTCAATTACCCCGTAACCCTACACGTTGACTCGGTACCGGTACCCCTTGTATATAGCCTTGTTATTGTTATTTTATTATGTTACTATTTTTCCTTTCGTTTTATTTAGCAAATGTTTATTTTAACAAACTCTGCATTGTTGGTTATGGGCTCGTAAGTAAGCATTTCACGGTCAGGTCTACACCAGTTGTATTCGTCACGTGACCAATAAAATTGGGTCTCTGATCTGTACTATACAAAAATAGTGGCTATTATTGTAATGAGCTCTACCCCCAAACAAGTCCACATTTGTGGCGGCCTAGGGAAACCCTTCACATTGTCAAATTTAGACTTATTTTTTATAGTTCTGAAAACTGCAAACTGTCCCAAATCCAGATATTTTTCAATATCTTTATCAGAACCAAATACATATATTTGAATTGGAGGCACAATGGACAGTGCATTCGGAAAGTATTCAGACCCGTTGACTTTTTCCACATTTTGTTATGTTACAGCCTTATTCTAAAATTGATTAATTTCAATCTACACACAATACCCCATAATGACAAAGCAAAAACAGGTTTTTATACATAAAAAAAAAAAAAAACTGAGATATGACATTGACATAAGTATTCAGACCCTTTACTCAGTACTTTGAAGCACCTTTGGCAGCGATTACAGTCTTGCGTCATCTTGGGTATGACGCTACAAGCTTGGCACACCTGTATTTGGGGAGTTTCTCACATTCTTCTCTGCAGATCCTCTTAAGTTCTGTCAGGTTGGATGGGGAGCTTCGCCTCACAGCTATTTTTAGGTCTCTCCAGAGATGTTCGATCGGGTTCAAGTCCGGGCTCTGGCTGGGCCACTCAAGGACATTCAGAGACTTGTGCCGAAGCCACTCCTGCGTTGTCTTGTCTGTGTGCTTAGGGTCGTTGTCCTGTTGGAAAGTGAACCTTCGCCCCAGTCTGAGGTCCTGAGCGCTCTGGAGCAGGTTTTCATCAAGGATCTCCCTGTACTTTGCTCCGTTCATCTTTCCCTCGATCCTAACTTGTCTCCCAGTCCCTGCAGCTGAAAAACATCCCAACAGCATGATGCTGCCACCACAATGCTTCACCATAGGGATGGTGCCAGGTTTCCTCCAGACCTGACGCTTGTCATTCAGGCCAAAGAGCTCAATCTTGGTTTCATCAGACCAGAGCATCTTGTTTCTCATGGTCTGAGAGTCCTTGGGTGCCTTTTGGCAAACTCCAAGCGGGCTGTCATGTGCCATTCACTGAAGAATGGCTTCCGTCTGGCCACTCTACCATAAAGGCCTGATTGGTGGAGTGCTGCAGAGATGGTTGTCCTTCTGGAAGGTTCTCCCATCTCCACAGAGGAACTCTAGAGCTCTGTCAGAGTGACCTTCTGGTTCTTGATCACCTCCCTGACCAAGGCCCTTCTCCCCCGATTGCTCAGTTTGGCCGGGTGGCCAGCTCTAGGAAGAGTGTCTTGGTGGTTCCAAACGTCTTCCATTTAAGAATGATGGAGACCACTGTTCTTGGGGACCTTCAATGCTGCGGAAATTATTTGGTTCCCTTCCCCAGATCTGTGCCTCGACACAATCCTGTCTCGGAGCTCTACGGACAATTCCTTCGACCTCATGGCTCTGACATGCACTGTCAACTGTAGGACCTTTTATATAGACACGTGTGTGCCTTTCCAAATCATGTCCAATCAATATAATTTACCACAGGTGGACTCCAATCAAGTTTTAGAAACATCTTAAGGATGATCAATGGAAACAGGATTCACCTGAGCTCAATTTCGAGTCTCATGGCAAAGGGTCTGAATACTACTATTTCTGTTTTATATTCATTAAATGTGCTAAAATTTCTAAAAACCTTTTTTGCTTTGTCATTATGGGGTATTGAGGAACAATTTTTTTACATCCATTTTAGATTAAGGCTGTAACGTAACAATGTGGGAAAAGTCTAGGGTCTGAATACTTTCCGAATGCACTGTACATTTCCGTGCAATTATGAACTGTCAACAACAAATCCTTATAAAGAAAAGCGTTAAAGATCTATTTGATTTGACTATATACAGTACATGGCTCTGGCAATTACCCAAATAATTGGTATAATGTACCTGAGAGATGAAAGGGTGATGCAATAATTGTCACCATCTAATGACCTTTTTAAATCAGAATTTGGGTCTGTAATCCAAATGCCATCAGCAGACCTATTAGTGGTTGCGCTTTTGTGTGTTGATCAAAGGATGTTGAATGATGTCCTTGCATTTCATTACACCCATAATAAAATCTGCTATATATGTGTATGTGACCAATAACATTTGATTTGATTTAAATACCTTTACAATAAACATATTGCATTGTATAAGGCTAATCATTTTGGCCCTTTCCTTCCCATAGAAGTTCTAGGAAGAATGGCAGAAACTCAGACACTCAACTTCGGACCAGAATGGTTGGTATAGCATGTTAATATGAAATCTTCTTGAGCTGAAATGTTGTATTGAATTAAGAGAACAATCAAGTTGATTAACAGCGATCTGGGTTGTTATGCTGGTTTGTCTTTTGACACCTGGTGCAGTGGTGTCTCACATGTTGAGGCCTTCCAGTTGTCCTCTAAATTTCACTTTTGTTTTTTTGTCGTTTTCTTTCTGTCCGTTTCTTCCCCAGGCTCCGGGCCCTGTCTGGGGGTGGCCATGGGGGTGGTAGCAGCAGTAGCGTTGCCACCTCACCACCTCTCTCACCTGCAATGCCAAAGTATAAACTTGCAGACTACCGCTACGGGAGAGAAGAAATGCTAGCACTTTATGTCAAGGATAGGGAGGTGAGGCAAACTAATTCTGATATGTGTTCTAAAAGGATACATAATTGGCATACAAATAAAGTGACTGGTATCGGCATGTTCTGAAAAGTGCTCCAAGATGAAATTTAGATTAATCCTTTTGTGGATTGAGATTTCTTTAAAATTCAAATATATAATGCCATCTTCCTGTAATTTGTGTATTAAACCTGACATTGCAATGGCTACTTGCTCATACCTTTTCTTTCACCTTATCAGATCCCTGTAGACCTACATGATAAGGATTTTCTGCCCATTTTACAAGAGGAGCCCCTGCCACCACTGGCACTTGTAGCTTTTACAGAGGAAGAGCAGGTTGGTGCCTTCGCTGTTCAAAAATGAGGCCATGTTTAGAATGAATATGCAAAATTAAGACTACACCTTTCTCATTGTTCTTACCCATTTGTTTGTAACCAAATATAGAGAATTGTTGGTTATAGACGTGTCTGCCCCCCACCCCCCTCTCTCTTTATCCTCTTGCTCCCTCTCTCCCCCACAGAGAAATTTTTCCATGTCTGTAAACAGTGCCGCTGTGCTCAGGCTGATGGGAAGAGGAGGGGGTCCGGTTGGGCCAGGGGCGCCGAGGGGTCGAAGTACCTCACGGGGTCGAGGTGAGGAAAGAGAACTATTGTCTCTTTGTCCATCTCAACAGTCTGAAGTGGCTTCCTGTGCTTGTGTCCTCTTCATCTGAACTAATCAGAAAAACAGACTAGGTGAACTGTTAATTTCTTTCATCATGTCAATGCAGGTAAAGGGTAGGAGAGGAGGAAACTACTTTAGACTATTGACTGTTGAGACTAGGGCTGTTGAAGTGACTGTATTACCGCCACACCGGCGGTCACGAGTCATGAAGGCAGTCAAATTCCACGTGACCGTTTAGTCACTGTAATTAGGCTTCTCCAAGCTCTGATGTTGCTGATGGTCATTAGTAGCCTACCAAACTTGCTAACTGCTTTGTACTCAGCACTCTATTGTCCCTCTAATCACTCTGACATCAATGCAAATGTTTTCGAAAATCTAATCAAACACTTCATGAGAGCCCATGAGCTCATGTTGCGCAACATTTCAATAGGCTATGCAATTGCGCATGAAAACAGAGTGATGGCCTCTACTAAAAATAGGAGAATCAGCGTTCTATAGGCTAGGCCTACTATATTTATTTTTCAACTTTCCTAATATTAAGCACATTGCTTATATTTACAACAGGAGTATAGCCTACCTGCCTGGCATGAAAATAAAGCGTCCTCCATTCGCTATTTAAGTGCGTAGATGCCATGTCTTTTTTCCCGCTGCCCCTGTTTCTCACATATAATATTTTGTATATGTAAAGACAAGATTAAATCAAGAGTTGTCTGATGTGTGACAATATTAGTCTATCACTTGTGAATTATATATTATCACTTGTGAATGATGCCCAACATAAGAAACAATACCTTTTTTTGCGACTTTTTCAAATCATAGTCACACACCTCATGTAGCCTAGCCCGTAGGCCTGTGTGTTTTAAGGTTTGTATCACAACTAAAGTGGCCAAATAACTTTTTTAAATTAAGCTAATTAATCTGCTTTACTAGGGGTGTAGAGCCTAACTGGCATACGTAAGCAGCACATGAGTTTCAAGTTCGAGGGAAGATAATTTTCACCATAAAAATGCACCTTTATAATAAAAACATTATACATGCATAATTGCATTTGCGGTCACAAGCTAAACGTTCTGATCTGTTGCGTCAGCCACATTGCGTAACAATGTTTTTTTGATGCTAGTGGTTGTATTAATTTGGGATCTATCGCATCCCACCGCTGTCCCAGACTATGTTTGGAATATTTATTTCTCACACAGAATAGAATAGGTCGACCTTTGTACTATGGGGGATAGTAGATTGACATTTTGCTGTTCATTAGGCCTACTCATCTTGTTGGCTGACGAAAAGTAAATGTGGACAGTTCTTCCAATATCTTCAATATGCACATCGGAATTGGATAAGGACGCACGCAGTTGCGTCCCCGATCTGTCTGTCTTCACTTGTAGCCTGTGAGAAAGACCCGATCACATGATGGAGCGCGCAGCACTCAGGGAGACGGGCACAACGGCCACTGGCCGCAAAAAGGCATGGATTTTCTTATGGTGCATTACGGCCACACAAAGGCCATGCCGCCGTGAAAGTCTAGGCATTATCAAGTGCTTGTCAAATTGTGAATATGTGACTGTACAGCCTGCGCAAAAAACTAAGCAGAGCTCATGCCTTTCAAGCGACTTTATTCAAATCATCATTAGTCGCATCATGCAGCCTTACAATGTATTAAAAATCTAAACATATAGCCCAACGTTTGTAGAACTAAAGTTGCATTAATAACTCTAAATTAATCTTTGTTAACCGCTCAACACAGAATAGCCACATGTGCGTACTCCCTCAAATCGTTTTGAGAAAATATCCTTTCTATTTTAGTCAGCTATGTTCAATTGTATTCTTCACACTACAAAATAATGCCACGGAATTCTAAGCAAATCTTGTCTGCTAAATGAACTAGTTTAGTCCACAGCCATTTGGCATAGCCAAATCAGGACCTAACATAAGGACAACTCAGAGTATGCTATGACTACATTTTCTTCATATCATGCTACTTTAGATGTCTAAAATAATGGCTTTATTGTGATGGTGGATTTATTATACTTTTTTAAAATGTAGATGTTCCAAAGGTCAGCATCAGTGGCTTGTAGGCTATGTGTAGAAGCCAGGAGATGCTAAATGTTTGTTAATGAACGATCAATTACTGAGAGACCGACAGTTACTTGCTTGACAATCACCGGCTGACTAAATTTTGTGACCGCCACAGCCCTAGTTGAGACCAGTGATTTCTATATAGGTGGAGACCCGCCCCTAAGAATCTTAACAATCTTTTGCCAGCTGCACAGAATGGATGTAACAGTAGTACTCTGTTAATAGGCTTGATAATGCTCCTGTCAGCAGAAGCTATCGCAGCTGGTTGAATTCATTTTAACCAGCTAGTTTCAACATTAAAGTGTAGTGTGTGTGTTTGAATCCTTTTCGACTGTAATGTGAATTGTGATTTCAAATAAAGTATTTAAAATGTGTGTCTGGCAGGTCGGGGTAGAGGAGACGGAGGGTTTTACCAAAGAAGTTTTGATGACGTGGAAGGAGGCTTTGGCCGCGGGGGCAGGGAGATGCACCGCTCCCAGAGCTGGGAGGAGAGGTAATGGACTATCCTCACTGGAGGCACGAGCGTGTATCTGGAATCGTCACGCACGTTAACCTTTGACGTCAATGCATGATTTATGCAAATGTTCCTGTTAAGTGGGTGCGTCTTAAGCTGGGTTCCAGGCCAGTGGAATGAGAATGATCGAATTGTTATGTTTTTGGTCATATCTGTCTATATTTGACACTCTCTGCATGCTCAGTCATTCTTTTTTTCTTTTCTCCTTTTCAAAGTCATGCTGAGTCTATTTTCTCCCCGTCTAGGGGAGACCGAAGGTTTGAAAAGCCAAGTCGAAAAGAGACAGGTTTGTGCCAATACTTGCTCATCACATAATCAATGATGTTTAATGTAATATACATAATGCCGTTTTTAAAGCATTTACAGGTAATGTAATGACTTTGCGCTTTCTCTCTCTCCTCGGTTCCTTTGACTTGGCAGAAGTTGCTCCTACCCACTTCCCGATGAATCATAGTAAGTTTACCCTCTAGGGGCCTCATTTATAAATCATGCGTACTTACAAAATAGACCCCAAAATGTGCGTTTGCCAGTTTTCACGCAAAAGTTGGAATTTATAAAAACAACTTGACGTGAGAATGTGCTTTCCTCCCCACAAACTTTAAACCATGCGTACGCACAGTTTCTAGTGGTTGAAGTATTGCATTGCAAGAAGGCAGAAGTAGCTTAGTAGCCTTGTGCAAATGGGGGACTATGATGACACTCTTATTCATAACAACAAAACAGGTAGCTCAATATAAGTTGCCATTAGTGAGAAGCGAAAAGCCATTTCTTTTATTTTTGCATTCTAAAGTAATTAGAAATAGGCATCTATTTCCTATGATTGATTTCATTTCCATGATCATTGAATAATCAATTCCTCACCTTTTCATACTGGTGAAATAGCCTATAGGCCAACAGCAAGGTAGGATAGGCTACCGTTCGTTCCATCTCTCATTTAATTGGACCTACTTCACAGTAGGAAATAGATAAGCTATTTCAAGTATTTTGCTCTATGCGATAGAACATTCACCTTTTCATTCACCTTTTCAATTGACGTTTGTAGGCTACGTCCTGAATACTGTAATTTCTCGAGTTGACAATATTTAATTTATAAACATAATGCATTATACATATATCATAACCATTGCAGAATAAATTCCTCACCTTTTCTGGCCATGATGAGTTCATATTCCCGAAGTGGCCATAACGCAAATGACCATGCACATCTCTAATGTAATTGGGCCTATTAGATAGGCGATGATAATTGAACATTCTTGCTCTATGCATCCGAAAGGGATTATAACATACAGTAGAATTTAACAGATGAACACAGTTGATATTTTGCATTGAAATGTGTAGGCTACCACTAAGTAAGCCTACTGTAGTATTCATTTCTTTCCTAGTAGACAATGTTTCAGAATTCGCGGGCAGTGCAACATAGTTTAAATTCAATTAACTGTTTACAGGTCCACAACAATTCAGAAACTGTCAGATACAGCAAATGTCACTGCAAAAGAAAACATTCTGCCAACACCTCCAAAGACATTTGACCAAGTTCGCTATTAATATTTACTTTAGATCACAGGAGGTTGGTGGCACCTTCATTTGGGAGAATGGTCTCGTGGTAATGGCTGGAGCAGAATATGTGGAATGGTATCAAATACATCAAACACATGGTTTCCATGGTTTCCATGTGTTTGGTGACATTCCATTCACTCTATTTCATCCATTATTATGAGCCGTTCTCCCCTCAGCAGCCTCCTGTGCTTTAGATACTGTCTAGGCCTAATTCCAGTACTTCCAAAGTATACAGCAAATAAGGGCAATATTGTTACCATAAAAGGTGAATAATGGACGTTTTTCAGGCAGAGTTATAATGCTTGTTCACGCGTGCAGTTTTACACAGGTCTGATTTATAATGGGGAACATGTGTATGTATGGCGTGCGGCAAGTTTATCAATCTCAGTATTTTTGTACGTGCACAGATTTTTTAGAAATGGGGCACGCAGATATTTTGTGATTAATTTAAGCAACGGTTATGAATCAGGCCCTTGCACTTATACACTTCCTTGTCATGGGGAACTATGCTGTTTCTCCAAGGAATATATATTTTCTATGCTTATACTGAGGGTAAAAGTCTACTTCACAAGGTACTAACTGTAACTCTGTACACTACTTAATCAGGCAACAGTACAGCTATGCAAATGTTTAGACAACCTCACAACTTATTTACTGTGACCCAGGACACCCTCAGACTAAAAGTATTGCTTGAAATTGTGGCGTTGCTACATACAGTGCATTCAGACCCCTTCCCTTTTCCCACATTTTGTTACGTTACAGCCTTATTCTAAAATGTATGAAATTATTTTTTCCCTCATCAATCTACACACAATTCCCCATAATGACAAAGCGAAAACAGGTTTTTAGAAATGTTTGCAAATGTGTTAAACATAAACTGATACCTTATTTACATAAGTACTCAGACCCTTTCCTATGAGACTCGAAATTGAGCTCAGGTGCATCCTGTTTCCATTGATCATCCTTGAGATGTTTCTACAACTTGATTGGAGTCCACCTGTGGTAAATTATATTGATTGGACATGATTTGGAAAGGCACACACCAGTCTAAATAAGGTCCAACAGTTGATAGTGCATGTCAGAGAAAAAACCAAGCCATGAGGTCGAAGGAATTGTCCGTAGAGCTCAGAGACAGGATTGTGTTGAGGCACAGATCAGGGTAAGGGTACCAAAAAATGTCTACAGCATTGAAGGTCCCCAAGAACACAGTTGCCTCCATCATTCTTAAATGGAAGACGTTTGGAACCACCAAGATACTCTTCCTAGAGCTGGCCACCCAGCCAAACTGAGCAGTCGGGGGAGAAGGGCCTTGGTCAGGGAGGTGACCAAGAACCCAATGCTCACTCAGACAGAGCTCCAGAGTTCCTCTGTGGAGATGGGAGATCCTTCCAGAAGGACAACCATCTCTGCTGCACTTCACCAATCAGGCCTTTATGGTAGAGTGGCCAGACGGGAGCCACTCCTCAGTAAAAGGCACATGACAGCCCGCTTGGAGTTTGCCAAAAGGCACCTAAAGGACTCTCAGACCATGAGAAACAAGATTCTCTGGTCTGATGAAACCAAGATTGAACTCTTTCGCCTGAATGCCAAGCGTCATGTCTGGAGGAAACCTGGCACCATCCCTACGGTGAAGCATGGCGGTGGCAGCATCATGCTGTAGGTATGTTTTTCAGTGTCAGGGACTGGGACTGGGAGACTAGTCAGGATCAAGGGAAAGATGAACGGAGCAAAGTACAGAGAGATCCTTAATGAAAACCTGCTCCAGAGCGCTCAGGACCTCAGACTTGGGCGAAGGTTCACTTTCCAACAGGACAACGACCCTAAGAACACAACCAAGACACTGCAGGAGTGGCTTCGGGACAAGTCTCTGAATGTCCTTGAGTGGCCCAGCCAGAGCCCGGACATGAACCCGATTCAGGTCTCTGAAGAGACTTGAAAATAGCTGTGCAGCGACGCTCCCCAGCCAACCTGACAAAGCTTGAGAAGAATGGGAGAAACTCCCCAAATACAGGTGTGTCAAGCTTGTAGCGTCATACTCGAGGCTGTAATCGCTGCCAAAGGTTCTTCAACAAAGTACTGAGTAAAGGGTCTGAATTCTTATGTAAATGTCATATTTCGGTTTTTTATTTGTTATGAATTTGCTAACATTTCTAAAAGCCTGTTTTTCCTTTGTCATTATCGGGTATTGTGTGTAGATTGATGAAAATAAAGCAATTTAATCCATTTTGGAATAAGCCTGTAACATAACAAAATGTGGAAAAAGTCAAGGGGTCTGAATACTTTCCGAATGCACTGTATGTATGTATGTATTGAATATGTTTTTTATTTGGATAAAATTGTCAAGATTGATGTTCCTCTTTGATAACATAAAGTTATTCAATCGTTTCCTCTCCAGTCCGTGCTAACTACGAGGAGGTTGGGACCGGTGTGGGGGGCTTGCCTGTGAGGAAGCATGACTTCACGCGTTCGGAGAGTGAGAACTGGCGCACGTCCCGGGACGAAGTGAATGGTGAGGATGGTGACGAGGGGGGCTGGCGCCTAGCGGGTGCCTCACGATGGGACAGCGACCGGTGGTGCCCCCCGAGTCCAGGTGTGCCCTGTAGTGATCCCAAACTGCTACCACCACAAAGTGTCCTGTCGTGTGTGTGTGTGGGTGATGGTTTCAATTGCAGGCCTATCTCAATACAACCCTTAAATCACAATGGACACCTCAAATCATATTACAATCCCTCTTGTTAAGGCCTCTAGGCCACCTAAATGAGAACAGGTTTTCAACAGGAAATACTCTAATCCATCCATAACTTCACAAAAGAAAGCATCACATGCATCTAAGAAACAGCAACATAAAGTGGTGGGCTTCAATATGAGAGACTGGCTGGCGTAAAGCCGACGGGGTCCTTAAACCGCTCTTCTCCTCCTCAGAAGGGCCGCGGTCGGCAGGGTGGCGAGAGGCTCACCCGGGGGAGCAGCCGCGGCAGCGCAGGCTCCCGTTCGACGCCAGGGAGGATGAGCGCGGCTACAGGCATCCCCCATCGGGCAGCGGCAGCCTGGAGGAGGATGGAGGCAGCCTGCCAGAGTGGTGTCTGGAGGACGCTGAAGAGGAGACGGGCACCTTCGACTCCTCCGGGGCCTTCCTTTCGCTCAAGGTTCGAGTGAGTGAATAGTCTAACAAACATCACTTGTTAATGGGTGCTGGGCCAAAGAAAGGTTTAAGAAATTAAGTAGGATGTGCATACATGATTGAAGTCTACCGAGCAATGAATTGTTTTCCCCAATGGGCAATTTGTTTGCAGCAATTACAAGTATGGCATCGGAGCACTGTGAGACATGGAACTCTGTGAATGCCAGGCTGCTATGAGGACATATGGAGCCTTTCATGACAAGATAGAGATATATATATATATATATATATATATACACACACACACAACCAGTCAAAAGTTTGGACACACCTACTCATTCAAGTATTTTTTTTTAAAACTATTTTCTACATTGTAGAATAATAGTGAATACATCAAAACTATGAAATAACACATATGGAATCATGTAGTAACCAAAAAAGTGTTAAACAAATCAAAATATATTTTATATTTGAGATTCTTCAAATAGCCACCCTTTGCCTTGATGACAGCTTTGCACACTCTTGGCATTCTCTCAACCAGCTTCATGAGGTAGTCACCTGGAATGCATTTCAATTAACAGGTGTGCCTTCTTAAAAGTTAATTTGTGGAATTGATTTCCTTCTTAATGCGTTTGAGCCAATCAGTTGTGTTGTGACAAGGTAGGGGGGTATACAGAAGATAGCCCTATTTGGTAAAATACCAAGTCCATATTATGGCAAGAATAGCTCCAATAAGCAAAGAGAAATGACAGTCCATCATTACTTTAAGACATGAAGGTCCGTCAATACAGAACATTTCATGAACTTTGAAAGTTTCTTCAAGTGCAGGCGCAAAAACCATCAAGCGCTATGATGAAACTGGCTCTCATGAGGACCGCAACAGGAATGGAAGACCCAGAGTTAACTCTGCTGCAGAGGGTAAGTTCATTAGAGTTACCACCTCATCCCAATTGAGATGGTTTGGGATGAGTCGGACGGCAGAGTGAAGAAAAAGCAGCCAGCAAGTGCTCTGCATATGTGGAAACTCCTTCAAGACTGTTGGAAAAGCATTCCAGGTGATGCTGGTTGAGAGAATGCCAAGAGTGTGCAAAGGTGTCATCATATACAGTTGAAGTCGGAAGTTTACATACACCTTAGCCAAATATATTAAACTCAGTATTTCACAATTCCTGACATTTAATCCTAGTAAAAATTCCCTGTCTTAGGTCAGGTAAGATCACCAATTTTTATTTTAAGAATGTGAAATGTCAGAATAATAGTAGAGATAATGATTTATTTAAGCTTTTATGTCTTTCATCACATTCCCAGTGGGTCAGAAGTTTACAAACACTCAATTAGTATTTGGTAGCATTGCCTTTTAAATTGTTTAACTTGGGTCAAATGTTTCAGGTAGTCTTCCCACAATAAGTTGGGTGAATTTTGGCCCATTCCTCCTGACAGAGCTGGTGTAATGGAGTCAGGTTTGTAGGCCTCCTTGCTCGCACATGCTTTTTCAGTTCTGCCCACAAATGTTCTATAGGGTTGAGGTCAGGGCTTTGTGATGGCCACTCCAATACCTTGACTTTGTTGTCCTTAAACCATTTTGCCACAACTTTGGAAGTATGGTTGGGGTCATTGTCCATTTGGAAGACCCATTTGCGACCAAGCTTTAACTTCCTGACTGATGTCTTGAGATGTAGCTTCAATATATCCACAACATTTTCCATCGTCATGATGCAATCTATTTTGTGAAGTGCACCAGTCCTTCCTGCAGAAAAGCACCCCCACAGCATGATGCTGCCACCCCCGTTCTTCACGGTTGGGATGGTGTTCTTTGGCTTGCAAGCTACCCCCTTTTATCTCCAAACATAACAATGGTCATTATGGCCAAACAGTTCTATTTTTGTTTCATCAGACCAGAGGACTTTTCTCAAAAAAGTACGATCTTTGTCCCCATGTGCAGTTGCAAACCGTAGTCTGGCTTTTTTATGGTGGTTTTGGAGCAGTGGCTTCTTCCTTGCTGAGCGGCCTTTCAGGTTATGTCGATATAGGACTCGTTTTACTGTGGATATAGATACTTTTGTACCTGTTTCCTCCAGCATCTTCACAAGGTCCTTTGCTGTTGTTCTGGGATTTATTTGCACTTTTCGCACCAAAGTACGTTCATCTCTAGGAGACAGAACGCATCTCCTTCCTGAGCAGTATGACGGCTGCGTGGTCCCATGGTGTTTATACTTGCGTACTATTGTTCGTTCAGATGAACGTGGTAACTTCAGGCGTTTGGAAATTGCTCCCAAGGATGAACCAGACTTGTGGAGGTCTACAACTTTTGATTTTCCCATGATGTCAAGCAAAGAGGCACTGAGTTTGAAGGTAGGCCTTGAAATACATCCACAGGTACACCTCCAATTGACTCAAATGATGTCAATTAGCATATCAGAAGCTTCTAAAGCCATGACATCATTTTCTGGAATTTTCAAAGCTGTTTAAAGGCACAGTCAACTTAGTGTATGTAAACTTCTGACCCACTGGAATTGTGATACAGTGAATTATAAATGAAATAGTCGGTCTGTAAACAATTGTTGGAAAAATTACTTGTGTTATGCACAAAGTAGATGTCCTAACCGACTTGCCAAAACTATCGTTTGTTAACAAGACATTTGTAGAGTGGTTGAAAAACAAGTTTTAATGACACCAACCTAAGTGTATGTAAACTTCCGATTTCAACTGTATATACAGTACCAGTCAAAAGTTTGGACACCTACTCATTCAAGGGTTTTTCTTTATTTTTACTATTTTCTACGTTGTAGAATAATAGTGAAAACATCAAAACTATGAAATAACACACACATGTTTGGCTCAAATGCATTAAGAAGGAAAGAAATTCCACAACAAGGCACCTCATGAAGCTGGTTGAGAGAATGCCAAAAGTGTGCAAAGCTGTCATCAAGGCAAAGGGTGGCTACTTTGAAGAATTATTCTACAATGTAGAAAATAGTAAAAATCAAGATAAATCCTGGAATGAGTAGGTGTCCAAACTTTTGACTGGTAATGTCTGTGTGTGTATGTATATGGATATAGATATGATATGTGTTGTATTGTGTTTTGTGTATAGATATATATTTTATATATATATATATATATATATATATTATTATATAATTAGTATATATATATATATATATTATATATTATATATATAGATGGATATTTATTTATTTATTTTTTCTCCCCCCACAGAAAGCTCCCAAGGAGCCCATCCTGGAGGAGGCAGAGCTGGACTTCAGACCCCTGGAGGAATGTGACGAGGGTCTGGAGGAGGACGGACAGCCCCGGGAGACCAAAGACACAGACGGAGAGGCCAGGAGAGAGCCCGACAGAAAACAGGGTGAGTTAAGAAGAGTAAAAACTGTCCGGCATACTGTATTTTTGCTCCCAATAGTAAACTGTCTATGTGGAGATAAACATTGATTAATGTGTCTTGTTTTTTTTCTCAGATGTGGGTAGAGCGGTGGAGGAGGCTCCCTCTCCTCCTGAGCCCCAGCCCCCCACCACCCTGCTGCCCCCTAGCCAGCCCAACAGAGTGGAGGAGCCTGAGAGGCCGTTGGAGAGGCCATTTGAGCGAACCCCAGCCCCGGAACACAGGCCAGAGGCCAACAAAGTCCCCCTGCCCAACACAATGCTGGACTCCCTCCCCATCCCCCACACCGCTGCACACACTCTCACAGGTAGGTTTACACACAAGCAGTGGAGGAATGGAGTCAGAACTCTCACATTTGTGCCCTCTTGAGACTGTTTTTGTTGACATATTGTTGCGTCTTTCTTTAAACCACCTCCACCTGTGAGTAAATGATACCTTTGTTTTCCACAGTAAGCTTGTGCTTAAAATATACACACTCTGGATTGTGAGAGACTAACCCCACACCCTCTTGTCTCTGTCCCGTCCAGTGTCTCCAGTGTCGGCCCCGTCGCCCACCATCCGGATGCAGCAGAAGCCCCTGGAGGTGCCCGTGGTCATGCCCGCCCCGCTGCCCTTCAGTGCTAGTCTCATGGCCCAGAGCACGTCTATCATGGCCCCTAACATTATTGCCACCAGCACGGACCTCATGGCGCCCATCGGAAGGCCCACGGCCATGCCGCCACACCGCACCATGGATGAAGATGAGGGACTGAAGCACTTTGAACAAGTTAGTGGACAATGACTACTGTTTCTGGTAGAAGTTAGTTGGTTACAGAGCTGCATGTTGAGCAAGTTAGTGAAAGTTACCAAGCTGGTTTTGGTGTAACTGAATTTGGAGCATGTCTGGACATGAAACATGCAGTGTGGGTTCATTTTTGGAACACGTCAAGAGTATGGAGAGGGTGTTTATTGAATTGTAATGAAATCTAACGTCATTTTGCTATCTCTCCCTGCGATAAGCTGAGATAATGGTGTTTGTTTTGGGATACTGTCATGAATGTAAAATCAAATTCAACTCGCTCTGTCTCTCGCTCTGTCTCTCTCTCTCTCTCTCGTAGGAGGCAGAGAAGATGGTGGCTTATCTACAGGACGGTGATGACCGGCTGGCTGCCAAGAGCTCAGCACACAAACCAGCCGGCCTGCCGCTCACACATGAGGCTGCTCTGAAGTGGTTTTATAAAGACCCCCAGGGAGAGATACAGGGTGAGACAGAGTGAGGGGAACAGGGCTACTCTGAATGAAAGTCTGCATACACTGCAACCAGTAAATGGAGAAATGTAAAAGTGACTTTGTCAAATCTAATAATGTCCCCCTCCATGTCTCCCCCTCTCCAGGTCCGTTCAGTAACCCGGAGATGACAGAGTGGTTCCAGGCTGGCTACTTCACCATGAACCTGCTGGTGAAGAGAGGCTGTGACGAGGTCTTCCAGCCCCTGGGTGAGATCATCAAGATGTGGGGCAGGGTGCCCTTTGCCCCCGGCCCAGCACCGCCACCCCTACTGGTAACCATCATACACCTGAGCTTTCTAGAATTCACTACTTTGTATTATCGTGAGATTAATCTTGATTATTCTATGGGCAATTCAATATGATTCCGATTCACCTCGCACCATCTGCATCTTCTAATGGTCAAAACAAATGAAGTTTATGTTTAGCCTAGGGCACGTTCAGAAGGCAAACGTTGTGACCGTTGCGATTCCTTATTCTAAGTCAGAGGCTTATTGACTCTACATAACATATTGAACGTTCCACAACGTTGTGCCATGCTGAACGCAGCCCAGGTGGTCGTCCCTTTGCCTGTGTCGTGGCTCTACTTCTCTGTCCCCTTGCCTATCCTATGTCTTACTCCGCCTGTCCCCACAGGGTGACGCCGGGGACCAGGAGCGTCTGAAGCGGCAGCAGGAGCTGACTGCCCTCAACCTGTACCAGCTGCAGCAGCTGCAGTACCAGTACCTGTTGAGGCAGCAGTACGCCCAGGCCCTGGCCCAGCAGAAAGCCCAGGCCCTCAGCTCAGCACCACACCAGCAGCAGCAGCAACAGCAGCAGCAGATCAACCTGCTCCTCCAGCAATACCAGGCCCTCAAGATGAGGTCAGCGGAAAACACGTAAGCATATCTGCACACAAACACCTTTACTGCAATACCAGGACCTTAAGATGAAGTTGGAGATGCGCACACACACCTTCAGCATTACTAGACCCTCAGAAAAAGAGCCTTCCGTGAACGAACACTCGCACTTGACTTTTCCCCCCCTTTACTACCTTATAGCTACTTTATTGAGGAAAAATGTACTTACTATGCCTGTGATATGTGGTTGTCTCACCTAGTTATATTAAGATGAATGCACTAACTGTAAGTCGCTCTGGATACGAGCATCTGCTAAATGACTACAATGTAAGATGAAGACATATATACACACATTATGACACGGGTTCTCCTCAAACATCTTTGACTGTGGGCAATATACAATGCCTTGTCAACATACTGGTGTGTTCTGGTTATTTATACAATTTCTGTGTTTGTCTTCCTGTGTAGAACATCTGAGAGTCTCTTACCTCCTGTGACTCAGTCCATGTCCGTACCAGACTCCCAGGGTTCTGTGTGGGAAATGCAGAACACCTCTCAAGCCTCCTGCACATCAAACATCCAGCAACCCACACCCAGTGGTAAGACTCGATCCAGAACACACTCTGAAAACATTAGCACACGTTTTGTTTTGGGCTGATGTTTATAACCAATTTAGCTTTTGAAAATGTGAGTATCTGAACCTCTAGAAGACAGCAAAATACTGTGCTCCTCAATTCACCAAAAAGTGGTGAAAGCTCAAAATCATATGAACTAAAGGGAATGAATGGGGATCAATGATATATATATATATATATATAATGACCATCCATCCAGCCTTACTGACTGACTGTCTGTTTTGTGTGGCTGTGCAGCGTGGGAGGGCAGCAGCGTGTGGGATCTGCCCATAGACTCCATGGCCCAGGCCCCCACCATAGAACAGATGCAACAGCTGGAGAAGAACAAGGCTGCCAAGGTAAGAGCACCATATTGTCTATACTTATGCAATCCTAAGTTTCAGATCTTTATGAAGTGCCCAGGGCTAGGGTTCAATGTGGGGAATTTGACCGTTTTAAACACTTTAAAGGTTCAGCGTTATGAATTGTCACAAGCAGCAACAAGACTTTGCGCTCACACAGTGACAGAGTATCTGTGCATGTGCACACGTGTGCTTCGCTCAGTGGTATAAATTATTTAAGTAAAAATACTTTAAAATACATAAGTCGTTACTTTACATTACTTTACTATACTGAACAAAAATATAAACGCAACATGTAAAGTGTTTTTCATGAGCTGAAATAAAAGATCTCAGACATTTTTCATACGCACAAAAAGCTTATTTCTCTCAAATGTTGTGCACAAATTAGTTTACATCCCTGTTAGTGAGCATTTCTCCTTTGCCAAGATAATCCATCTACCTGACAGGTGTGGCATATCAAGAAGCTGATTAAACAGCATGACCATTACACAGGTGCTGGGGACAGTAAAAGGCCACTCTAAAATGTGCCGTTTTGTGTCAACACAATGCCACAGATGTCTCAAGTTTTGAGGGAGTGTGCAATTGGCCTGCTGACTGCAGGAATGTCCACCAGAGCTGTTGCAAGAGAATTGAATGTTCATTTCTCTACCATAAGTTGCCTCCAACATTGTTTTTGAGAATTTGGCAGTACGAAATCTGGCAGGAAAAAACGAAATCTGATTGGCTGGGCCTGGCTTCCTAGTGGGTGGACCTGGCTTCCAAGTGGGTGGGCCTATGGCCTCCCAGGCCCACCCATGGCTGCTCCCGTGCCCAGTCATGTGAAATCCAAAGATTAGGGCCTAATGGATTTATTTCAATTGACTGATTTCCTATTAACTGTAAGTCAGTAAAATCTTTGAAATTGTTGCATGTTGCTTTCGTATTATTATTTTTTTACAACTTTTACTTTTACTCCACTGCATTCCTAAAGACAATAATGTACTTTTTACTCTGTACATTTTCCCTGACACCCAAAAGTACTTGTTACTTTTTGAATGCTTAGCAGGACAGGAAAATGGTCCAATTCATGCAGTTATCAAGAGAACATCCCTGGTCATCCCTACTGCCTCTGATCTGGCGGACTCACTAAACACAAATGCCTAGTTTGTAAATGATGTCTGAGTGTTGGAGCGTGCCCCTGGCTATCTGTAAATGATGTCTGAGTGTTGGAGCGTGCCCCTGGCTATCTGTAAATGATGTCTGAGTGTTGGAGCGTGCCCCTGGCTATCTGTAAATTATGTCTGAGTGTTGGAGCGTGCCCCTGGCTATCTGTAAATGATGTCTGAGTGTTGGAGCGTGCCCCTGGCTATCTGTAAATTATGTCTGAGTGTTGGAGCGTGCCCCTGGCTATCCGTAAAGAAAATAATAAAATGGTGCCGTCTGGTTTGCTTAATATAAGGAGTTTGAAATTATTTATACTTTTACTTTTGATACTTAAGTTTATTTTAACAATTACATTTACTTTTGATACTTAAGTATATTTCTAATAAAATGCTTTTAGACTTTTACTCAATAAGTATTTTACTGGATGACTTTCACTTTTACTTGAGTCATTTTCTGTTAAGGTATCTTTACTTTTACTCAAGTATGACAATTGGGTACTTTTTCCACCACTGGCTTCACTCTGCTACATCGTGGTAGCTACTGGACCAAAACAGCAGAGAATTTTTGCTCTTAGTTGTTTGTGGAAATCGGCCCGAACATTGCCGTTTACTTCATGCATCACTGAGTTATGTCAAAACATAAATGTTTTATGTGATTTACTTATTAACTCTAAAGGTTCCTCATCAGCTGGAGCGTGAGCGGGGTGAGGCAGAGCTGAGTGCCAAGAGGGAGGAGGAGGAGAAGAAAAGACTGGAGGAGGTGTTACGGGCCAGACAGGAGGAGGAACACAAACGCCTGGAGGAGGAGGAGCTATCACGTCATAAACAGGTGGGGGCGGTCATTAGACTGTTGCCTGCTGAAATAAGCCAGTCATAATACCATTTCAGCTTTGTTGATGTTCAATATATGATTGGCTAGAGAGTTGCAAGTTAGCCTGTAAATTCCTAAGAGGAGGCTTTAATTTCTGTTTAATGCAACTGATTTGATTGATTTTTCTATCCACAGGAGGAGGCATTGAAGAGGCAGCGGAAGCAGGAGGAGGCGCAGCGCCAACAGAAAGAGGAGGAAGAGGAGCGGCAGGCACAGGAGGAGGCCCTCCGCAGACTGGAGGAGAGGAGGAGGGAAGAGGAGGAGGAGAGGAAGCAAAGGGAAGAGTTCCTCCGCAAACAGGTACTGGGTTTCACAATAAAGACCAGTACAAGGTCGTGTTCAGTAGGCACCAAATAGAACAACATTTAGTACAATGGGAAGGAGCAACTTGGTTTTCAATAGGAATTACTAAAACATTTTTTGCTACTGTGTGCCTAATGAACACGACCCTGCCCTTTATTGTGTGGACAGGTGATACTAAATGCACATTTCCACATACAGGTGTAGGATCTTAATTTGACCTATATTGTCTCAGCAGCAACAGGATTTGAACGTTTAGTTCATAATATTGCTTGATCGGTGGTTAGGCTATTAGCTGGCCAAAAGTAGGCTACATGAAAACTGCAATACTGTTAATATAACTGTATGTTAGTCAGTTTTCAGTGAATTTATGTAAATCAGAAAGCACATCTGCATTTCTCAGCAACAAAAGAGTGTTCAATAAAGTTGACCCTATTCTAAAAAACGCTTTGTCGTTGCTCCTTAGGAGGAGGCGCGCCGAAAGCAGGAGGAGCTGGAGACCCTGAGGAGGCGTGAGGAGGAGAAGCGGCAAGAGGAGGCGGCGGCGGCCGCGGTGGCGTTGGCAAGGCAACAGCAGGAGGAGGCGAAAAGGAGGGAGCAGGAGGCGGTGAGGCAGCAGGAGCTAGCCAGACAGAGGCAGCAGCAGCAGGAGGCGCTCCGCCGACTACAGCAGCAACAACAGCTAGCCCAGATGAAGGTAACTAACTTAACACATCACTGAAGACACTTAACACTACAACAGCAGCAACAGTTAGGTACCATCTACTGCACTATTAGTGATGGGGGGGATTGATAGTTACGTATCGGGATATTATTTTTGACGATGTATCGTTTTGGCAATATCGCAATATTATTTTTGCGCTAGTTGGCTGTACCTGCACCAAAACTCCTGTATTTTTCCTTCATAGCTTGTTCTCCATCTTCTTTTTAAATAGGGAGCCAATTTGTTTTCAGCACTTTTATTTCCATGACTGATTTAAAACTTGTTTTGTCATGGCTCTGTCTTGTCCGTCTGCAACAGACATGATGAGCAATATGTTTGGAAAGTGTTGAATCGCAATAAATAGAGAATCGTGAGAATTGCATGTCGTGTCGGCACCAGAGGACCGTGATAATATCGTATCGTGAGGTCCCTGGCAATTCCCAGCCCTATACACGATACTATACTATTTCAAGTCTGCCTTAGGAAAGAGGTATTTTGACCTCAATGGGACTTCCTGGTTAAATAAAATATAGCCTATAGACAAATGCACTATCCAACTAACAATAGAGGTCAGAACATCAGAAATACTGTATTTGTCCATGAGTTTCTGTATGTGAATATTTCTCTGTCATGGATAAGGCCCTGACTGGCCTTCTTTGCATTCTGTCTCTGACTAACCTAATCTTTGTCCTGTCCCGTAGCTGCCGTCTTCCTCTAAGTGGGGCCAGCAGTCAGCAGTCACGGCAGCAGCCATCTCCCAGTCCCAGAACGCCCTGTCGCTTGCTGAGATCCAGAAAGTGGAGGAGGAGAGGGAGCTACAGGCACGAGAGGAGGTCAAGTATTACATTTAACATGGGTGGCACTCCTTAAGCACTTTATTGTGCTACCAATTTCTTGCACCTGTTTCGATACGATATTATGGATGATAATGAGTTTTCCCTCTTACTTAGCACTAAGGTAGCATGAGATAGAAATGTTCTACCATCCATCATGCTTTATATCCTAAAGCCTTACTCATGACCCCCCCTCCCCCCATGCAGCAGCGGCGCCAGCAGGCGGAGCTCCTGAAGCTGCAGCAGCAGCAGGCCCTGCAGGAGGCCCGGAATCCCCAAGCCAAGCTCTCTGGCTGGGGCAGCATGGCCAAGCAGCCAGCCACCACCAAGTCCCTGCTGGAGATCCAGAGGGAGGAGGCCCAGCAGGTGAAGCAGAGGAAGGAGCAGGGGAGTGGGGGCCAGCAGCCCAGTCACCCCACCGTCACCCAGCAGAACCGCGCCCAGAACAGAGCTGTGAGTTGGTTCGCTCATTAATTCATTAATTAATTTGTCTGCATTCATTCATAGCCAAATACATGATATGGAAGACTGCTGATACTGTTGTCTAAAACTGTTTCTGAAACCTTTCCTTGGGGACCCCCGGACATTTCAAAATGTGTATGTAGTCCTGAACTAGCTTACCTGGTTAATCTAATCAAGAACTTGATGATTAGTTGACATGTTGAATCAGGTTTACTAGCTCTAGAATAGATCAAAGACAAACATGTTTGAGTACTTCTTTGACGTAATGACACTGGTCTGACCAGGTTTGATCTCTCTCTCTCTAACCCCTCTTCCCCTAGACCACCGCTCTGAGCCCCTCGGTGTGGGGCTCGGTGGCCACCAGTGGCGGTGGTGGCGGGGCTCCTAACTGGGGCGGGGACAGCAGCATCTGGGGTGACAGCACCAACTCCAACATGGGCTTCTGGGACGAGGAGGTGAAGGAGACGGCCCAGCCCCCGCCACAGGCCCCACCCCCCGCCAGGAAGCCCAACGCTCAGAAGAACAACAAAGGCAACGCCAACATCAGGTACAATTTCATGGACAACCTCAGGACACTTGGTTGACAGCTCTCACCTGATTGACAGTTTCTATTTTGGCTGCTGGACTCAAGGTCGTTGGAAGGACAATTTTATACCACTAGTATTTATATTTTAGTTATTAAGGGCAGAATCCTAATTTCCACTGAAGTTTAAATTTCACTTAGTCATACGTTGATGTCAACACACTAAGTGAAAATTCCACCAAAGTGGAAGTTAGGATTTTCCCCTTAGTGTGTTCAAATGAGGCTGATATAATTCAATACGATGGATTACTTGGTTGTTAAAAAAGGAAGTCAGTGTATCTAATGGTGTGTGGTAACTGTGTGAGCAGCAGTCGGGCCAATAAGAAGGTGGAGGAAGAGGAGAAGCTGCTGAAGTTGTTCCAGGGGGTCAATAAGAGACAGCAGGATGGCTTCATGCAGTGGTGTGAGAAGACCCTGCACACCCTCAACACCGCCAACAACCTGGACGGTGAGTACACACACCCTCAACACTGCCAACAACCTGGACGGTGAGTACACACACACACACACCCTCAACACCGCCAACTACCTGGACGGTGAGTACGTACACCCTCAACACTGCCAACAACCTGGACGGTGAGTACACACACACACACACACACACACACACACACCCTCAACACCGCCAACTACCTGGACGGTGAGTACACACACCCTCAACACTGCCAACAACCTGGACTGTGAGTACACACATACACCCTCAACACCGCCAACAACCTGGACGGTGAGTACACACACCCTCAACACCGCCAACAACCTGGACGGTGAGTACACACACACACACACCCTCAACACCGCCAACAACCTGGACGGTGAGTACGTACACACACACACTGCCAACAACCTGGACGGTGAGTACACACACCCTCAACACCGCCAACAACCTGGACTGTGAGTCTCTCTTTGATGTACTATACATACCAACAATCTAGGTGTGTCTGAAATGGCACCCCTATTCCCTATGGGCCCTGGTCAAAAATAGTGCACTATATAGGAAATAGGGTTCTAAAGGTACCTTGAACCTAAAGTAACCTTCACTGTGTGGTCCCATCTTTAAAACTCACCCACTCCTCTTCCTCCTCTTGCTGCAGTCCCGACATTTGCGTCCTTCCTGAAGGAGGTGGACAGTCCGTACGAGGTGCACGACTACGTGCGCGCCTACCTGGGGGACACGTCCGAGGCCAAGGAGTTTGCCAAGCAGTTCCTTGAGCGCCGTGCCAAGCAGAATGCCAACCAACAGAAACCGCCCCAGGCCCCGCAGAACCAGCAGCCAACGTTGAAACAGCAACAGCAGGTGAGAGAGAAACAGCAGAACAGGTCATTGGAGGGCTTGTGGTCTAGCGGTAATGCTCCCTGCTTAGACACATGTATACTCCCCTCCCCTCCAGAGACCAGGGTTCAATCCCTGCTCCAACCCTTCAATCTGTGTCTCCCACCTTACCTGTACCCTCTCTGATTTTTCTCCCTGTCTAAATAGTGTCAAAAATAACCCAAATAATTGTTTTTGTTTTTTTAATGAAAAGAACATTGGAGAAATGCTTTGGAATTATGTTGCGTTGTAGTCAGAAAGATACTAGAATTGTACAGATTTCCTTGCTTTCCCATGTTGTCCTGGTCACATCCCTGGGTCTTCATCAGCAGTTTATGCGTTGAGTCAGGTGTGTTGGTTCTAGGCTGGATCAAAAGTTCTCCCATAACAAGGTTGGTCACTGACCACTGTTTAAGGGTTTTCAAAATGTTACCTTGGTCCACCAGGTAGAGAGAGAGAGACCTATAGAGAACTGTTATAAATGCTGGACCATAATATTCCAGAAAACCATACAAACATTAATCAATACCCTGCTACCAATGTTAGTAGTTATCTGACCCCTCATTTGCTTTGTGACTCCATTTCCCAGGATTCAGTGTGGGGTGTGAGCGGGACGAGCTCTCCGTCTCTGTACCAGTCAAACCACACCAGCCTCCAGCAGCAGGCACGCTTCGAGACCGTCACCTCAGGGAAGAAGAAGAAAAAGCAGAAGATGGTCCGGGCAGACCCCAGCCTGCTAGGTGAGGAATAAACTATTGAAGCACTGTTGTCATTTATCAATCATTGTCAATTTGTTATTTTATCATCATCCTAAATCTCTCCTCATATTTGATACAGCTTTAGCTGACAACCCAGAGCATGAACTATCCACCAATTTCAAAAAACAGTACTACACCAAGACATTCTAGTGAAAGGCCCTAAACAGCACCAAAGATGAATGGCCAATGTATTTAAGGCTGGGAGCAGGCGGGATTCTTGGCCAATCACATTCACGTTGAAATGCTGCGTCACACGGTTGCTAAGCCATTCGTCAAGCACTGCCCTCTAGAAAGTCCGGTTATTAGTCAAGAAACTGTTTATTTTCCTTGAAAGTACGTAATGTCACAATTTAAAAACTATGCGATATTAAGGAGAAAAAGTTGATAATCTCTGAAAATATCTGTAATGTTGTGTGTCTTGCTCACGTAATTCATGCGAATGTTGGGTTGTTGAGCTAGTGCCCAATTGATTCCCATTCAATCCTTAAAGGAGTGCACTCCTTGACCCAGAATGTACATTGAAAATGAGCGGTTAGCATTCTCATTGGTGTTCGGCTAATGCTAATTGGATTAGCATCTCTTCCATAAATTGTTTCTGGCTATGACTACCACATGCATACCTCTGATACTACATTCACTTTCCCTGTTCCCTCTCATCTTCCCAGGTTTTTCTGTGAATGCGGCGTCTGAGAGGTTGAACATGGGCGAGATTGAGACGGTGGAGGACTTTTAAAGGGACTGCTCTGCTGCCAAACCCACTGACCATATCGCTCTGAACAGCTGCCATTTTACCCCCTACAACCACCCCACCCCGATCCCCCTTTACTTTTACTTTTTCAAACAGCATCCTCTTTCCGTTCTGTTTTGTATGTTAATTTAACATTTGTCATTGGAAGCTGGGGATGCTTTCCAGTGCTAGAGGACCCCCCAAAAAAACATCCCTAATGAGTATGTCACCCCTATGTGAGACAGGGAGAAGGCTAACGAAGCAGCCAAACAATCAAATGGAACATAAAAACCAACCAAGCAATGAAACATCGAACAAACTGACCAACAAATCAATCAATTTATAGGCCAAATCTGACTTCTCCCGAAGAAGAGAGCTGAGAGGAGGACATGGATGTCTCTCCCTGTCTATGGTCGACTGTTCAGTCCCCTCCTAGTATCTTGTCTGAAAGTACGCAAAAGAGAGACGTTACCTGATGCAATCTTCTCCCCATGAAATGTAACGTGTGGGGTGGCAGGGGGTTTTTGGGGGGAAAATATAACTTTTTTTCTGTTTTGTTATTTTTATTTATTGAATGTTTTTCTCCCCCCCCCCTTTCTCCTCCTTCCCTCCCTTCTGTTTTCTGCCGGTTGTTCGTGGATGGTGATGGTATTGTAGGAGCCAAGGATGTGTGTGCCCACTGATGTCCTGTTTTAAGGACATGTTCGAAAGTTCCAAGTAGTTATCAATTTCTTGTAAAATACTAGGCTGTTTAAAGAATAAACTTTCAATTCTGCATCTGTATTATAATATATGGAAATGATGAACTACTGGAGTCATACTTTTCTATTGCGGTATGAAATAAAACAGTCTCTTGTGTGGGCTGTTCACACCTCTCTTTGAATCATTGAATGACTGGAAATTGCTGAAAGTGTATAACTTTGCTTCCTTCCCCGCACAACACTTTACTCACGTTTGTACTCAAACTTTTTAATGCTAATTCGCTGTAGAGACAAGTCGAGACTCAAATTTTCCCTCTTTTTTTTTTTTTGACCTTGTAAGTCCATTTCCTCCCAGTTACTGGTTTAGATTGATAGAGCTATCAGCCTATAATTTATCTAATACCAAACCAAATGTCCCCCCCCCCCCCCCCCCCCCCCCCCCCCAAGTTTCTAGGTTCTCATCACTTCCCTGCATTGATGTCATTTTGGGTTATATCCTGAACAATTCACCCTACTGAGAATACCTACCCTGAGTTCCAATACTACTATATATATTTTGTTATTTTTTATTTAACTAGGCAAGTCAGTTAAGAACAAATTCTTATTTAAAATGACGGCCTACACCGGCCAAACCCAGACGACGCTGGGCCAATTATGCGCCGCCCTATGGGACTCCCAATCACGGCCGGTTGTGATACAGCCTGGAATCGAACTAGGGGGTCTGTAGTGACGTCTCAAGCACTGAGATGCAGTGCCTTAGACCGCTGCGCCACTCGGGAGCCATTACCACATAACCCACGTCCGTCTGTGTCAACTCGTAACAGAGGGATAAATCGAAGCGCACAGCTTCTTCCAAAACCTACAAATATCTCCAAGCGGTAAGCTGACGCTCATAACCCATTACCACAGATCTAGGATCTGGAAGGTACAGGACAATGGACTGACTGCTGGGGAGGGGAGGCGTTGCGGTGGCCAGTCCTAAAGTCTTACACTCTCTGGGTAGAAGTTTCCCATGGGAGATCTAGGATCAGCGTACCCTGCCCCAGTCCTAATTATAACTGTTCGGGTGAAAAAGAGTTGAACAGACCTTGGATCAGCGTCTACAGGCAACTCCTTGTTTGTCTTGAGTAATATGAAGTGGGTGGGCCTTCATCAGAGGTGTTGGCAAAGTCTGCTCTGTCCAGACGCTTCTCTCTCCATACACAGTCCCTCTTCTACCTCTCTTCCCCTCTTTTTCTCAATCCAAACCTCACTAGCACATGCTTCTGGAGATTCAGTCCAGTCGTCCAAGCTCGACACAGACACAGGAACCATCATGGCCAACTGCATCAATGTATCCAGACTCGTCCTCCTGGCCCTTCTAGGTCTTTGGGTAGCTACCATCCACTCAGGTAAGTTCCCTGCCGGACGATGTCTCTCCTGGTTGTCCTTGTGTTAGTCATGGAAAGGAATGTAATATATGATACATGTATCTATTGGTCTTTGCATGTTGTTGACTATCCCAAGTGTGAATGCATCAAAAAAAGAGTCCACACTACGAAATATGTATTTATCACAATGTTATGTGTGTTTTATGTTTCAAAACACTGCCTTACTCAGACCTCACCTCAAAACGTCAAGGGATTGGAAAGATTGAATAGAGAGAAGTAGATGAGAAATGATAGTATGTTTGTTGAAAAACACTCAAGATCTGCCACCAGAAATGCAGGGTTGTTGTTGAAGTCAGTTGTTGCAAAGTTGAAACCAGAAAATATGCTCCCTGCTTTTCATACGCTCCAACAAGCACATCAACAACTAGTCTTCTATTATCTGCAATTTCAGTGACATTCCAATTTAATTCAAATCCATGTTTGACTTGTTATTTCTGTGGACAAATAATCAGAGAAATCTGTTATTTTTCTGAATGTTGTACATTGAGTGGGCATTGGGTAAATATGGTCATATTTACGTGAGCTCAAGGTGTGTATACGTGTCATTTCCCCCCACTATTGATCTAGAGGCCTGGTTGCGAGAGCCCTCACCCTAAATGATGCAGTTGTTCGAGCGAATGGAAGTTTGGAGACTGAAAGCTAGTCTTTGACAAACTCACTTGCTTTCATAATGCCTCACGTTAAGAACCTGTCTGAAACTGAATATTGGCTCATTTTGGCTGTGGTTTCACTCTGCCAAAAGTCATCAACCTTTCTATGTGCTTATTCATAAGGGTTTATTATATATGTTTTCCTGAAAATTGTTAGATATGAGAGGACAATATCAATGTAAAGCTCACCGCTGGCATTTGCGAACTGTGATTACTTAAGAATGCACTGATAAAATGGTTGAAAATGACACCCAGTACTTGCAATTTGTAGTGGTTTATTTGATTATTCTTTTTTATTATCGTGTTGAAGTGGCTTTGTTAGAAGAACCCTGTTGTACCTTTTGTCTGTGTGGTTTTACTGCTGATCTAGATACGGAATCAACAGATTCACTGGAGGTGTCTCACCCTCTTTTTTTTTTTCTTGTTCTTTTTCCCCTTGTTTATCGCTCTCCCTCAATCTCTCGCTCTCTCTTTTGCTCTCTCCCTCCATTTATTTCTCTCTTTCTCTCTCCCGCTATTTCTCTCACTGTCTTCTAGCTCTATATCCCTCCATTTCTTTCTGTTTTTCTCTTTCTAGTTCTCTCTGTTTACCGATCTCACTTCCTCTATCCATTTCCTTCTCTCTTTCTCTCCCTTCATTTCTATATCTGTCTCTGTCTCTCCTACTCACACCTGAGTGAAAAGCCTAAGGAGAGGCATGGGAAAAGAGGGGATTCCACAAAGGCCAGTATTGTGAGGGCCTTGGGAACACAGCACAGCAGCGCTAAGGCCCTAGGGGTCAGGGCAAGGGTTAGAGCCTCAGCAAGCCACCTGAAACATGGCACTTTTTCCTCAAAACAATGACGTGTACACAACTGTCAGTATGCAGTGAGTGGAACAATGACAGCAGTGAGGAAAATCGAACACTAGAATGATAGTAACATCTAAGCATTTTTAGGATGAGGTGGTTGTTTTGATAATGAACGGTTTTGTTTTGTTGACAATTTTGGAAGGGAAGTGTTGAGCTGTTACTGAACTCGTTTCTTTTGTTGATCTACATTTGCATGATCATGATGTCCAGTTTAACATTAAACTTGGAACTTTGTGCATTGTCTCTTTTAAAACTACACTTCCTTTTATGATGATTTGTTCTTTTGGGGTTTTGCGGTTCCTTTTGTAATGTCTATGGTCTCATAAGCATCAGATTCTGTATTGGCACTACCGCATTCCGTATTCCACAAGATCAGCAAATCTCCAAGATGACTCATATGAATGACTTCCACTCTACATGTTGTTTTGGACCAGTGATACCAGTCATGGTGCCACTCATTTCCTCTAGGACTGCTGTCGTGACTGTAACACAAACCGCTGACTAAATCGTTGGCACCAAATCTTCCTTTCCTCATTTCATTTCCTCAATCTTCAACTTCTGACCTATCCAGCGCATTCATCTCTTAGTGGCCACTAAGTAAAGTAGACAAGGAAAGAGAACAGTTAACAGTATTGGGACCCAACCAAAGTACTATTGCTCTCCACTCACAAAAGTTCCAGAGACCCATGCCCTCATCTCTTGAGAAGGGAAGGGAAGTAGATAAGAAAATAAAGTTGTTTAGAATTATTTGGACCCAACCATAATACTCCGCCGCTGTACAAACCTCTGAGACCCAAGCTCATATCTCTGTGATCACTAAAGGAAAGTAGACAGGGAAATGAAACTGTTTTATAGTATTGGGACCCAGCCATAGTACTGGCTGTTCTCTTGGGGGCTGATTCAGACTTAGGAAATATATGCCTTTCTTATGGTCGCCTTAGTTCCAGTAAAAGGACATCTTAATGCTACAGCATACAATGACATTCTAGACGATTCTGTGCTTCCAACTTTGTGGCAACAGTTTGGGGAAGGCCCTTTCCTGTTTCAGCATGACAATGCCGCTGTGCACAAAGCGAGGGCCATACAGAAATGGTTTGTCGAGATCGGTGTGGAAGAACTTGACTGGCCTGCACAGAGCCCTGACTTCAACCCCATCAAATGCCTTTGGGATGAATTGGAATGCTGACTGCAAGCCAGGCCTAATCGCCCAACATCGGTGCCCAACCTCACTAATGCTCTTGTGGCTGAATGGAAGCAAGTACCCGCAGCAATGTTCCAACATCTAGTGGAAAGCCTTCCCAGAAAAGTGGAGGCTGATATAGCAGCAAAGGGGGGACCAACTCCATATTAATGCCCATGATTTTGGAATGAGATGTTCGACGAGCAGGTGTCATGTAGTGTAACTTATTCAGTTGTGTAACGCAGGTGTGGCTACCTTGCGCGCTCTGAATACATTTCATTCAACTGCTGAAAACCCTCCCACTTCCCGGCCAACTGATTTTTCTCATGGAGTTTTCATTCAATAGGGTTTTCAGTACATTTATCTTAAGCCATCCCTTTAAACAGTGTACCTTTTTTAGTTTGAATTTTTTCGACAGACTCACTAGAATATATCGAGATAATGGGTTCAGAATATTAGGGATCAATGAAAGAAAGCCATCTAAATATATGAATATTGATCTCCATTTCAGCACCAATTGGTAGATTTAAAAATACTCTGATCTTGTAGATTTTTTAGGGTTAGTAAAGTATTCCCATGATACTTTCCCCCCCTCCTGGCTGACTTGTGACCTGTGCCAGTTTACAGGTGGTGAAGGGAGGTCTGCTATAAATTCTGAAGCTCGCAAACACAGGATATTTGTAGCTCACACCCTGTGTTTTGTGAGGAGGGGTGTGAAGGAAGTCAAAGGGGGTGAGGTGAGGGCATGGGTGATGCCTCTTCTGGGGCGGGGGGGGCCTGGTGCCCTGGCAGGGTGGCGTTCACATACACCCGTTTTGAAAGCTTTGTCATCTCTCCAGGCCATGTGAAATCCTGACTGGAGAGGTCCAAGCTACAAACGTCTGTGGTACAGTAGCTGATGGGGACAAGAGGCACATGAGACTGAGATGGCAAGGTCCGTCATCAGTGAGTTAGACGTTGGATGTGAAGCAGATTAGCTGTGTAAATTAGTGAAATTTGGATCTGTTCCTCTGAGTGAATGAGACATGGTGGTATGCCATAGAGGCTGGTTTAGAAAGGCAGCCCAATTCTGATCTTTTTTTCACTAATTGGTCTTTTGACGAATCACATCAGCTCTAAAATATGATCTGATGTGATTGGTCAAAAGAACAATTAGTGGAAAAACAATCCGAATTGGGCTGCCTGTGTGAACATAGACTGTTTAACTGCCACACTGGAAATGCTCACATAATGTCAATGAGTGACAGCGAGCCTATGGGTTTCCTTACCTCATAGATGTAAGACCCATGTTAGTGTCTTGTGACAGACTGGTTGTGGATACCCTGATTAAACCCATGTTAGTGTCTTATGATAGACTGGTCGTAGGTACCGATATTAGACCCATGTACAGATGTATGATCTTAATTTGAGCCAGTTTGCTACAGCGGGAAAATAATCCTGCAGAAACAGGAAATGTGAATTAAATTGATTCAAATTAATTGAATTTTTTTTAGGGGTTGATACGTTTTCGTATGGGAAAATCAAGTCTGAAATTTCTAAATTACAAACGTCAGAAGCCTTTTTAAACCTGCATTGCAGGAAAGTTCTTCTGCAACAGGGTGATCAAATTAAGATCCTACATCTGTAGAAGGATTTTGTAGACTGGTATTACCTGAAACCGATCGCAAGAACACCTTTGGAAACTGCGTCTTTCTTCTCTCTGTCTTCATTAAACCAAGCTGTCCAAGGAGGCACAACCTTTTCACACACACACACACACACACACATTTTCATAAACATGTTTGACGTCCAGTGCCATTCTAGGGGCTGGGGCTACTGTAGGTTTGAGCCTGGCCGGCCGTTACCAGATGGAGCTTGCCTCTACTGCAGACCTGCAGCCGCCCTCCCTGACCACACAAGCAGCCTTTTGTGCCCCGGGCTGAAGGCCTCATTGATGGCAAGGCTGGCCAGGGGCCCAGGGCTCCGTACCTGCAGCCAGCCCCTGCACAGGAAGCCACACGCTAACACAGAGTCAACAAACACACACAGCAGCATCAGAAATACCCAGCCCGACTGGCCTCCGCTCGTCTCATCCACGGTACACAGACCATCATCAATAGAGTTAGCTATCGGAGTTTGTGTGTGATGATGGAATTATGAGAGTCGTAGTGATGGGCCACAATGGACATAAGTCTTTGGACATTATTCCGTTTTTATCTTTGATAGTTGGAATTGAATGTTCTTATGTGAGAGAGACTTTTGAAGTAATATGTTTGGTTATGTGTATTTTCATGATGATCAAATAAAAGGTATTGGTAAGGTTGGGTGGGAATCATTACCACAGGAAGTAGTTTGGGGGTTGGGGTGCTGTGATTATTTTGTGAAATAATATTTAAACAAATATATATATACATACATACATACATACATACATATTATTATGTATAATTGTATTTTCTTCAGGGTGTGCAATATAACACCCCTACTTCCCGCAGCTATGGTGGGAATGCTTGGTTGTGAGATTGTCAGAGTTTAGTAAGGTTTAGAGTGTGCGGTTTTATAACTGAAAGGTAAATATGTCTGTTGTAAATAACTTGGGTGTAAATATGTTTGGTGTATGGTTTTGTTGGTATGTGTAATGTGAGCATGGGTAGGATTTGTGAGTCTGTGAGTGGATAGGTGTATTTGATACCATTCCACTCATTTCCCTCCATCCATTACCACCAGCCTGTCCTCCCCAATTAAGGTGCCACCATCCTCCTAAGGTGTGCACTTGTAATTGTATGCATGCATGCTTACATACATGTGTGTGGACGGTTTGTTTTCTTTGGAGATTGGGATTGAATTTTCCAAAACTTGGTCAGCTGTGCACTTAACACAAAAGCCTTCTCAGATCATTGAAGCAAATCAAGTCAACAGTTTAGTAACTTAAATTGGCCGTATCCAGAATCTACTTTTACTACTCTTGGCCCTTGAGAAAGAGATCATGTTTCCATGGCTGCAATGAAGGTGTGAATAGTTGTGTAGCACCTCCATGCTAGGACCTGTGGAATGTGGGTGAGAGGAGGAGCGGTAGAGAGCATAGAGGAGGAAAGGAGAGAATAGAGGGGGAGAGAGGAGAGGGGGAGAGAGGAGAGGTGTACAGAGAAAAGAGAAGAGGGGTAGAGCGAGGATAGGCGCTGGAGAGAAGAGCAAGGTGTGCGAAGGAGTTGAGAGAGCACACAGCGAAGGCTACCTGTACTGTGTACAGAGTGTTGATCCCCTCTACAAAGACATCCTTTCAGGCCATGGTCTGAGGCTGCTAGCAGAGCAGCGCAGAGAAGCTATTAGCTTAGCAGCTTTCCACTGTAGCATCGAAGACTGGGGCTAATACGTAGCTCTGTACTCAGTATCTTACATTCACAGCTCTGTCACTCACTGGCTCTCTGTTAGAAGAGCATACATTCGCAGACATCTGCAGACATTCGCATACATTAGCCTTCAGCAAAGCTACTGAAATATGATGTGTAATATATCATAAGTCATATTTTCAGTTCACACTCTTTCCCCAGGGTTGGTTTTATCAAACTGATAATATCTGAATAGCAACTGAAAGTGTAGGGAGTTGCAGGGATGACTGAGCTTGTTGTTATCCTCAGGGTAATGTCGTGTTTTATTTAACCGTTGTTTTACCAGGAAGTCCCATTTGAGGTTAGAATATCTATTTTCCAAAAGAGACCTGTGGGCCTACTGTACAAGTTGTGTTTTCCACACTTTTGCACTACAAATATGTACACAATGCTACATTCGAACAGTTTATACAGTGCCTTCAGAAATTATTCACACCCCTTGACTTTTTCCACATTTTGTTGTGTTACAGCCTGAATTTAAAATGGATAACATTGAGATGGCCTACACACAATACCCCATAATGTCAGTGGAATTATGTTTAGACATTTTTACAAATTAATTGAAAATGATAGGCTGAAATGTCTTGAGTCAATAAGTATTCAATCCAGTGCTGAATTCGAGCCGGATCCTGCCAGAACAGGATCCGACACCTCTCCGTTTTGGACTGTTTCTTTCCAGAACCTATTTGCCTGGATCCGGTACCTCTAGTGGCTGGAAAAATATGTTTAACTTTTTGCAATGTAAAAATTATAATAAAAGTTATCAAAGTTCATTCGAGTTGACTCTTTGTTAATTCTCCTGTGGAAAAAGTCAATTTCCAGCCCCGGGTCTGATATTCTAAGAGTTTATTCAGATTTATGGTTTGTGCAACATTGTAACCTATGTTTGAGACCACCAACGTGTGTCTGTGGCTGTGTGAGAAGCACGCCTTTATCTCTCACATAACTAGAATGAGATTCACTTTCTATGATCTCTCTCCAACTCATCTCTCCAGCGTTGCACTTGATAATTTATTTCCTTATAGAAACATAGGGTTCTGGAGGGGCTGCAGCACCCCTGATAATTTGAAATACATTTGCCAAATTTATAGAATTAGGCTACTCCTGTCAGTTCAGAAATAAATTACATTATTCAGAATAGCCTACTAAACCATTAGAAGGCCTACAATTTAGCCACAGAGGATCAATAGCTTTTTTTTTTTTTAATTGCCTACCTGTGGATTGTGTGTAGCCCAATAACAAGGCATAGCCTACCGTCGGGAACGTGCGGCAAATCTGTCAGTGAACAGCATGCAGACAAAACAGGTATTTTCTTAATATTTATGCGACTACGCTATATGCGAAGATATGCATTTATTATATGCTTTATTATAAAGGTGATTATTTTTTTCTCATGGGTTCCGTTACCTCATAACTCCCCAGGTCACCCCCCTCTCGTGCTCACTTTTTGTTCAGGCACCTCCCGATTTACACATTTGTGCCAAGCCTATATAAGTTCAGGAGTAAAAATGGGCTTAACAAGTCGTATAATAACTTGCATGGACTCACCATGTGTGCAATAATAGTGTTTAACATAATTTTTGAATGACTACCTCATCTCTGTACCCCACACATACAATTATCTGTAAGGTCCCTCAGTCGAGCAGTGAATTTCAAAAACAGATTCAACCACAAAGACCAGGGAGGTTTTCCAATGCCTTGCAAAGAAAGGCACCTATTGGTAGATGGGTAAAAATTAATACAAAAATAAGAGCAGACGCTTAATATTCCTTTTAACATTTTGAAGTAATTAATTACACTTTGGGTGGTGTATCAATACGCCCAGTCACTACAAAGATACAGGCGTCCTTCCTAACTGGAGAGGAAGGAAACCACTCAGGGATTTCACCATGAGGCCAATTGTGACTTTAAAACAGTTAAAGTTGAATGGCTGTGATAGGAGAAAACTGAGGACGGATCAACAACATGTAGTTACTCCACAATAGTAACCTAAATAACAGAATGAAAAGAAGGAAGCCTGTACAAAATAAAACATATTCCGAAACATGCATCCTGTTTGCTATAAGGCACTAAAGTAAAACTGTAAAAAAAAGGGCAAAGAAATTAACTGTTCTGAATACAAAGCATTGTGTTTGGGGCAAAGCCAACACAACACATCACTGAGTACCACTCTTCATATTTTCAAGCATGGTGGTGGCTGCATCATGTTATGGGTATGCTTATCATCGGCAAGGACTAGGGAGTTGTTTAGGGTAAAAAGAAACCGAATAGAACTAAGCACATGCAAAATCCTACAGGAAAACCTGGTTCAGTTTGCTTTCCAACAGACACTGGGAGAGAAATTCACCTTTCAGCAGCACAATAACCTAAAACACAAGGCCAAATATACACTGGAGTTGCTCACCAAGACTACATTGAATGTTCCTGAGTGGCCTAGTTACAGTTTTGACTTAAATTGGCTTGGAAATCTATGACAAGACTTGAAAACGGCTGTCTAGCAATGATAAGCAACCAACTTGACAGAGCTTGAACATAAAAAAAATAATAATAATGTGCAAATATTGTACAATCCAGGTGTGCAAAACTTTTAAGAGATGTACCCAGAAAGACTCACAGCTGTAATCGCTGCCAAAGGTGATTCTAACATTTATTGACTCGGGTGTAAATTAGATATTTATTTATTTCATTTTCAAATAATTTGCAAACATTTCTAAAAACATGTTTTCACTTTGTCATTATGGGGTATTGTGTGTAGATGTGTGAGATTTTTATTTATTTAATACATTTTGAATTCAGGCTGTAACGCAACAAAATGTGGAATAAGTCAAGGGGTATGAATACTTTCTGAAGGCACTTTAGACTTGTCTATAAACATGCCCAAATTGTAAACACACACACTGTTGTTCACAGAGACCGTGGATGACCCCACGCCCACTTTACAAGGGGACAACCAGGACACACTGTCCGGCGGCGGGGCATATGATGTCACCACCAAAGATCCCTTCAAGGATATGACGGAGAGAGTGTTCACCTTTGCGTACGAGGACACCACCCACTCACAGGCCATGAACGAGGGGGAAGGTGAGACAGGCGCTTCATGTCATTCATTTTTTCAGAACATTTCCCCATCACCAGTTAAATTAATATAGAACTTTTATTAATATAAATAATTTTGGTTGTACCCAGAGGATTAAGAAAATAATATATTTTGCCAATATTTGCATGGCAAGAGCCATTGGCGAAAGCACAGGGGTGGAGTTATATGTGTCTATTAGTTGTTCCACACCACAACCCCTTTAAATTTAATCAATTGGTAATAAACCATACAATTATATTTAGACGCTGTATGCACTTTGAATAATATTTTACTTTGAATTTGACAATCATGCACTAGTGTCAGGTTGGTGATCTAACATTTGACCTTTGCCTGTTGCATGTACTGTGTGTGTCCAGGTGTCCTGGGCCCTGGCGCCGTCACAGCTATCGTCATTGCAGTCGTCCTGGGGGCTTCAGTCCTCCTCGCCCTCATTGTCATCACACTCAGGAAGTTCACCGCTTCCTAGAGCCACAACTTCCTCTTCCTCTCTTTCTTTCAATCTCTCTCTTTCTCTCTCTCTCACTCACTCTTCTTACCTCCATTATTCTCTCTCTCCATTCGTCTATCTTTATGGTCTTGCCCATTCTCTCTATTTGTGACAACCCTTCTACAAGCCCAGAATAACCCTTGGATGCTGGAATAGTATTGTGGCAGGTCCCTTTGGCCTTGAAGAGCAACCAACAATTAATTTCCTTCAAACTCTAGCTACTATAATCATATTGTTATTGTTGGCACACATGTCCACTAGTTACTAAAGAGTAAATCCTAGCTTCCACTCAAGTCAAATTTGGAAGTTAGGATTTGCCCCTAAAATGACAACATTAGAGACTGGCAGGTTCTTCCAGTGTATAGTCATACAGGTAACTGCCAAAATAAAGGAAACACTTGAGTAAATGAGAGATACAAAGTATATTGAAAGCAGGTGCTTCCACACAGGTGTGGTTCCTGAGTTAATTAAATAATTAACATCCCATCATGCTTAGGGTCATGTATAAAAATGCTGGTCAGGTCATTATTTTGGCTACCATGGCTATGCCCCCATAGGATGACAATGCCCCCGTCCACAGGGCACGAGTGGTCTCTGAATGGTTTGATGAGCAAACGACATAAACCAAATGCCATGGCCGTCTCAGTCACCAGATCTCAACCCAATTGAACACTTAAGGGAGATTCTGGAGCAGGGCCTGTGACAGCGTTTTCAACCACCATCATCAAAACACCTAATGATGGAATTTATTGTGGAAGAATGGTGTTGCATCCCTCCGATAGAGTTCCAGACACTTGTAGAATCTATGCAAAGGTGCATTGAAACTGTTCTGGCGCATGGTGGCCCAATTTAAGACACTTAATGTTTGTGTTTCCTTTATTTTGGCAGTTACCTGGAGCTTTAATATGATTTAAGGGCTAGATTCATTCAGATCCGCTTTAGCCAACATCTGCATAGCGGATAGTGTCAGAGGTGGAACTGAGTTAGAGCTGTCAAATCTAGTGGCTCCAGGCATTATACCTAAAGCAGACATCTCCATTGGTCACATTAAGAGAAATCCCATGCAGCAGGGGCGGATTGGCCATCTGGCAATTCTGATGCTGTGATGAGCGAGCCACTCTCCTCTCCCCCATGCGCTCATGAGAAAAATGTACGGCTCATACACATCAAACACATAGTCTCCAAGTGCTTGATACCATTCAAGTTATTCCATTCCAGACATTATTATGAGCTGTCCTCCCCCTCCCCTGTAATTCATCTCTATTTTATTTTGTTTAATAGGAAATTCTGGAGTCTGTATTTTGACAGTAAAATAGCAAAATTTTAATTAATTAATTTTTTTATTTAGCAGACGCTCTTATCCAGAGCGACTTACAGCAACTATAGTCTAATTATCAACCCAAACTTCATGACAATCACTGGATTAGGTTGCACATCAAAATATATTGAATCATGCGTTCCTGCTTGGATGTGTTAGATGAAACAACTTATTTATTGAGCTGTGGTGTGGGCTGGTGTGGATAAAATGCATGGGCTGAATTCTTGTCCCAGTCTGCCCCTGCCATGCAGACTTGTTTACAAGTTTGAACACTGGAATGTGAGATGTGATCTACAACTAGATTAGGATGCTAGAAATCATCATTATTTTGTTTAATGATTTTTCAGTTTGAGCATAATTATTTATAAATAGCCTACTTTCTCTTTCTGAACTTCTAACGCGAGGGGGCGGGTGTGGCTTCCTGACGATGATCGCAAGAGCAGCTGCTCACCGATTTTAAGGCTCCAACTCAGTTCCACCTCAGACACCGCCAAAACATCCGGTATGCGTGTGTTTGAAATCGGCAGTTAACGCTTGATCTGACTGAATCTAGATTCTAAATAGATTTTAAAAAATCAAATACCTTTTTTACTTTATTTTAATGATCTGTAGTTTACAGTTGTGTGTCCAAGTGTTTTGTCGAGGATTGTTATTTGTTTTCTTCTTTTCTGACGGTTATGTTGTGGGTTGTTACAGTATCCTGTCTCAGTTTTTGTATTGTGGATGAAAAGGTGTGATGAGTGTGTCTTTGTGAAGATAAATCCACCATGTTCATTACGTTGCAGTAATACTGAGTGCCTTAAAAGGCAAGTGTTATTGACAATAGAATGAAAATGAAGTAATTTACCAAATGCAGGCTACTATACAAAATGCACGTATATGATAGAAAGCATGTTATTTTGAATGATCATCTTATGCCAGAATTATTTCCCCAATGCCCACAATGTGCTACTGTTCATTGGCAAATAAGTTTTAAAAAGGAACGTTTGCCTATTTTCCATTGTAACAAAAATATTTACTGTGACCTAAAAATCTAATATTTTACGATGAAAATGCTGGCGTCTTCAATAAATAAACATAGACAGGGTAATTCGTTTGTTTTACCTGCTAAGCAAATTTTAACCTCGGGTATAAAAAGACAGAATGACAACTGTTGTGAGTTTGTGTATGAGTACATGTGTGTGTGAATATTATTTTTATTTTTTGGCGGGATGCATTGGAAGGGATGCATTGTATAATATTTAGATATTCTGTGTCGCAGTATGACCATTTTCTGTATTCCTCTGTGGCTTTTTACCAAACAACAAACTAAGGCTGGGATTCATTAAAACCCGCCATAGCAATGTTTACGCAGTGTCTTTATTTACAATATTCATCCCGTGCCCAACTTCTAATTCTAAAAAGTTAAAGCAGACCTGTGAAGGGGGGTCGCCCTGGTGTAGTTGCAGGTTTTTATACAGTACCCAAGACCAGTCGGTGAGTTAATTTGACGACTGAAAAAGAGGTACTGCATAAATACTGGAATGTGGGTTTGATTTAATTGAGCCCTAATGCGTTTGTAAAACTTTCAATATTCTTTAAGGTAATATCACTGGTTTGAACTGTCTGGTTTAAAAATATACACTGCTCAAAAAAATTAAGGGAACACTTAAACAACACAATGTAACTCCAAGTCAATCACACTTCTGTGAAATCAAACTGTCCACTTAGGAAGCAACACTGATTGACAATAAATTTCACATGCTGTTGTGCAAATGGAATAGACAACAGGTGGAAATTATAGGCAATTAGCAAGACACCCCCAATAAAGGACTGGTTTTGCAGGTGGTGACCACAGACCACTTCTCAGTTCCTATGCTTCCTGGCTGATGTTTTGGTCACTTTTGAATGCTGGCAGTGCTTTCACTCTAGTGGTAGCATGAGACGGAGTCTACAACCCACACAAGTGGCTCAGGTAGTGCAGCTCATCCAGGATGGCACATCAATGCGAGCTGTGGCAAGAAGGTTTGCTGTGTCTGTCAGCGTAGTGTCCAGAGCATGGAGGCGCTACCAGGAAACAGGCCAGTACATCAGGAGACGTGGAGGAGGCCGTAGGAGGGCAACAACCCTGCACTGCCAGAGCCCTGCAAAATGACCTCCAGCAGGCCACAAATGTGCATGTGTCTGCTCAAACGGTCAGAAACAGACTCCATGAGGGTGGTATGAGGGCCCGACGTCCACAGGTGGGGGTTGTGCTCACAGCCCAACACCGTGCAGGACGTTTGGCATTTGCCAGAGAACACCAAGATTGGCAAATTCGCCACTGGCGCCCTGTGCTCTTCACAGATGCAAGCAGGTTCACACTGAGCACATGTGACAGACGTGACAGAGTCTGGAGACGCCGTGGAGAATGTTCTGCTGCCTGCAACATCCTCCAGCATGACCGGTTTGGCGGTGGGTCAGTCATGGTGTGGGGTGGCATTTCTTTGGGGGGCCGCACAGCCCTCCATGTGCTCGCCAGAGGTAGCCTGACTGCCATTAGGTACCGAGATGAGATCCTCAGACCCCTTGTGAGACCATATGCTGGTGCGGTTGGCCCTGGGTTCCTCCTAATGCAAGACAATGCTAGACCTCATGTGGCTGGAGTGTGTCAGCAGTTCCTGCAAGAGGAAGGCATTGATGCTATGGACTGGCCCGCCCGTTCCCCAGATCTGAATCCAATTGAGCACATCTGGTACATCATGTCTCGCTCCATCCACCAACGCCACGTTGCACCACAGACTGTCCAGGAGTTGGCGGATGCTTTAGTCCAGGTCTGGGAGGAGATCCCTCAGGAGACCATCCGCCACCTCATCAGGAGCATGCCCAGGCGTTGTAGGGAGGTCATACAGGCACGTGGAGGCCACACACACTACTGAGCCTCATTTTGACTTGTTTTAAGGACATTACATCAAAGTTGGATCAGCCTGTAGTGTGGTTTTCCACTTTAATTTTGAGGGTGACTCCAAATCCAGACCTCCATGGGTTGATACATTTGATTTCCATTGATAATTTTTGTGTGATTTTGTTGTCAGCACATTCAACTATGTAAAGAAAAAAGTATTTAATAAGATTATTTCATTCATTCAGATCTAGGATGTGTTATTTCAGTGTTCCCTTTATTTTTTTGAGCAGTGTATATTTAAGCAATAAGGCACGAGGGGTGGTGTATGGCCAATATATGCTAAGGGAGTTCTTAAGCACAACACAACACAGAGTGCCTGGATACAGCCATTAGCCATGGTATATTGGCCATATACCACAAACCTAAGAGGGGCCTTATTGATATTATAAACTGGTTACCAACGTAATTAGAATAGTAAAAATAAATGTTTGGTCATACCTGTGGCATACGGTCTGATATACCAAGGCTTTCAGACAATCAGCATTCAGGGCTCGAACCACCCAGTTTATAAAATCAATAAATCACTTTGTACAACCAAATATTAGTAATAATATTAGTTAGTCTTGACATTGATTTAAAATGTATATGGATACACTGGTACAGTTTTTTATTTGTAAGGCAGAATAGAGGATTTTACAGTACACAATGCAAACAGGTAGTTTCATTCACACTGAATTAAACCGATATGTCTGATATTGGACTGATGCAATACACTCTGAAGAGTGGGAGTGAGTCACT